AGTTATGTAACTTGTTTTCATACTTCGCTAGTCAACAACAAAGTTATTTTTTCATTTTAAAGAAACTTGTGTTCCAATTTAAGGGTGTGTTTGGTAGGTTGGAACATATATTTTGATAATTTACTTTCAAGAAGAAAAAAAAAACTCTTTACCACCAAACAAACCCTTAAGTTGATAGATACATGTCTTAGAGAAACATTTATAGTGGGTTCACTTTTGTGCATGCAAAGCTATTGGTAGTCAAAGCTGCAAAACATTTTTGCAAGAAATAGTGCTTCTTCACTTCTAATGTTTATCAACTTAAGGGCTGACTATTTTTGTGAAAATTTTACGTACATTTTATACACATGCACCCCAACAAACATGTAGTAATTTTTTGTTACAATAATATTGATAAAAGATTATTGTGAACAGGGCAGACCTAGGAAGGGGCGAGGACGAGAGTATTTATTTGAACCTCATGGTTAAAAAATAAACATTTAAATATATTTTTTAATGTGTATACACAGATTTTGTATCCTCTAAACACAAAATTAGAGGTTGATTTAGTGATTAACCGTTCAAAATTCAAGTCCAAATAAACATGCATATTTTTTTTGTCTTTTGAATATATTTACCCAAAGATTCTAGTACTACAATTGAAAATTAAGAAAATGTCAAAACAAAGGGAGAGAGTGCATCAATTACGGCTAAAAGGTCCAAATTCAAAATATTATTATGTACAAACCCTACTTTATCGAGTGTGTGAATAAAATTTAAAATTAAAAGATACTTAAAAGTAGAAATTTTGTTATAAGCGTGTAACATTTTTCTTTGGAAAATCCTAAGATATCATGTAATTTGATCTTACATATATAATTTAAACTCGTAATCTTCTGAACACACTGACAATTTTTCTCGTTACTCAATGAAGAAAAGAAGGAATGAGTTATATAATTTAATATAATGAAGATCTACATTGACCAATGGAAACAAGTTGGGATTCAAACGAAATTCAAGACGAAAACGACTAATCATTTGCCATAAGATATCATTGTGGTTTCAAAATTGATGTCACACCTTTAATCAATCATCATCATGCATCTTTATTTTTATTTTAAATTTTTAGGGTTTATCTACCTACTAAAAAAAATATAATCCTTGTTACATCCTTATCAAATATAAAAACAAAGAGTACACATATATATTGTATACATGTTTTATATATGTATATATTATTATATTGTCTTACACAATTTGTGTTTTATTGCTGAAGTTTCGTCTAATAGATTGTCCTTTATGAAACTGACATATATAGTTTTGAGTTTCATTATTATATATAACTATTCAGATAGACAAATATATACCTGCAATATATATTGCCTGTTTCACGAGAAGCATAGTATGTTATTAGGGTTTAAGTTATATATATATATATATATATACACACACACACACATCATTAGTTATGGAAAAAAGTGTCGAAAACAGTGTCTCTATCCATAAAAGTAGGGGTAAGGACTGTATACTTTCTATATGTCCAACCTAGATCCCTCTTGAGGCGGGATTACACTGATTATGTTATTGTTATCATTATATAGTTATTACAAAAGTTATTGTCTAGTCTCACTCAAAAGATATTTGTAACGGGATTACACTGAGTATATTATTGTTTCTGTTATCGTTATATAAGTTAATAAAAAAAGTTATTGTCTAGTCTCACTCAAAGGATCTCTAAGGTGTATCTCTCATCAATGTGTGAGATTTATACCTTCAAAATAATACTTTAAATATGACTTGATAATTCTTGACACTCTACTGTTGTAGATTACTTTAACTCTATTATGTATGGTTTTTCCATACGCCTAAGTTATGGTGCTTAATTTGGCAGGTAATTCGATAAAATAATTAAGGTGCATGTAATGTCTCCGTTTTGATTAATTGAAATCACCACTATCCAAAAACACACTTCCCTCGTTCATTTTATGTGAACCTTTTTGATCAGATACATGAATTGAAGAAAAAAAATTGGCATTAAAGTTATTAATCGGTCCGTGGATTTATTGGTATACATAAAGTCATAAACATGACCCTTAACTTGACATTTGTTGACAACTATAATCTTTAACTGTGCATATGTAGACACTTAAACTTGTATAAAATTGAGCAAATGAACACATCCATCTTACATGGCACCCTACATGACAATTTTGTGTCCTATAATATGGCTTCCTGCGTGTAATTTATGTCATGTAGGACATTTGTGTCTACTTGTTCAATTTTATACTAGTTTAAGTATCTACTTGTGCATATTCAAAGTTGGAAGGCATAGTTATTCGTTGAAGTCATGTTAAGGATCATGTTTATGTATTACGCCTAAACAAAATCATATTATGTAAAATGAGAAAGTTCATGTTAAATTATTATCTCTTTTGAAGTTTGAACATCTCTTTTGAAGTTTGAACCAAGTCATGAAGCCCATGAATGGTGAATTTGGGCTTTAGTAACAGTTCTCATCAGTGAGCCCATTTTACTTGTACTAAAGGATAGGCCCAAAAGGATTCCACAAGACCCTTTCTCCAAAAATATAGCAAACATCAATATATATTCAAAATAAATAGCTATAATTTACTTTTTTTAATATTATACGGATATAACAACAGAATAAACAGCAAATTGAGTTATATACAAATAATCAGAAGTTATTAAATATATATTAAATAGGCAAATTATTATTACAAGCATAATTAATGGTGTCTATGCACATTTTATGTGATCAGTTTTCCATTTTTATCTCATTAATACTTTTTTTTTTATCAATATTTCTATATCACATATACCCAATATTTTCCTTCCATATTTTTTTCAATTTAAGATCCTTTTGATGAATCTAGGAGTAATTTTTGTCTTTTGAATTCATCAAATATATTTTAGTTGATTTTCTCTCTTTTTTTATATATGAAAATTATATTTATATCCATCTATATTTCATTTATTTTTAAAGGATTCTGGTTAAGAATTATCTTGTTTTCTCCATTGCAATGACTATAGTTATATTTTTTTTAAAAATAGTACAGGAGGAAGAACATGAGTAAAAAGAGATGGAGGTTTGTGTGATTGTCAAATTTGTGTGTATATATATATATATATATATATATAATAAT